AGTCCTCTATCCATAATATTGCTTACTCCAGTGAAAAAGTCATCATCTCAGAATTTGGAGAGAAATATGCACTGATCAAGCATTGTTTAAATATGTTGGTGGATTTTGATACGAGAAAGACAACAGGGGTGGACTTTTTTCACTACAGGAAGAGGACTGGTATTTTGGCCAAAAGCAACATTCATTGCCAAGGATCCATTGGTGAGCAATTGATCTAATACTAAATATCTCCAAATCTGTTCCAATAAAGAAACAAACTCATCTACATCTCGGATGGCCTGAGGGTGAGTACATTTTCAGCAAATTTTAATTTTGGGGTGAATAACTCCTTTAATCTAATCAGTGCTAGCACACAGTCTTTTCAAAAATACTATGTGCTGTAAGAGACCCACAATCAGCCATATTACTAGTAAAAGTAAAGTTCTATAGCATTTTCTTTCTCTGCAGGGCAAAAAGAAAAATGAAATGCACTATTACACGAATGTATCTACATTTCTGTACCATTTAATTTCCCCCCCACATTGCTTGAGGAGGCCGTCTAGAAAATCAGGTCAGACCCAGCTGATGAAGAAATTATGTGATTTAATGGCCCCTGAGGGTCAACACAAATATAGCACTGCATTAACTCTGGCCCCTCCTATAGGACAGAGCAGCAAGGATATCAACCACAAATATCAAGAGAGAGACACGACACAGACGAAGAGCTGCCTACAATGAACGGATGGTGAAAAGATAATGAACAAAAATACATTATGCCGTTCATTTTAATTCACATATTCCGTTTCTTTGTTGAAATGTTCATTTCATTATCTGATTAAGTGCAGCTCTTGAAATAATCTGTATTACAAATCCTATTAATTAAAGAATGTACTTTCATTTCCATGACGTGCAGATGTATACTGCCTTCTGAACTTCATTTGCATAGTCATTAGCAAAATAAGAATCTACCTCAAACACAAACACACCCAGACTTGAAGTCTTGTTAAATGAGGTCAGGAGAGTTCTAAACAGCAAGGTTTCCTGAAGTGTAAAAGTGATAATCTTCTTCTTTTATCTTTACTCAACATGTCACCTTACTTAAGAAATACTGCCAAGGAGGGTTTGGTTAACAGGCAGACATGTGGCTCAGCGGGTATTCTTGTTAAACATCACAGAGATTCTATCCAAATGCATCTGGAGAAATACAGAACTTTGTATTGTGAGTTACATAAAGTGCGGTGCGGTCCAAAAGTATGCCATCTTCTGGCGAGATGTGGGAATTCATTCAGCGTGTGCATTATGGGCATTCTCTAGCCGTTGAGCGTGCACCAGTTGTACATTCTTACAGTGCATTGTGGGATTGAATGAGTGCACTCGAGAACGTCCACTATGGTTTCGGACACCACTAAAAATGGCTGTTCCCTCAAATAGTGGCCTATTTAAGGGTATGGGGGCGATTTCGGACACAGAAAACTCACATAGTGAATCGCGAACCGATTCAAACTTTGCGAAAAAGAACCGACTCAAAAGAGTGATTCATTCTCGAATCGGGCGTTCATGATTTCTCTTTGTAAACATTGACGGAAAATAGGGACCTGATTGGGACATGACTTCATTAAAATATAGTCGAGAAAAACGTTTCAGGTTGGTATAAGGTGATTTCTCATGTCAAAACACTGACTTCTTAGTATCATTTTACTGTGGTAGGACACGCAAAGAACAGTTTGTTAGGGTGCTTTCACACTAGCACGTTTGGTGCGCACCCGGGTCTGAGTTCGGTACGTTTGGATCATGTGAACGCTCTCTTCCGAACTCGGGTGCGCACCCACGAACCGTACGTTACCCGAGTCCGCTTAAGGGGCGTACTGTACAAGTGAACTCCTGTACGCAATCGAACCAAATCGCGGAAGTGAACCGCTATTAATGGCGACCTGTTTGATAAAAATGTGTGTGTGTGTGTGTGTGTGTCACTCATTTTCCTGTCGAGCGTGAGCGAGCTGTATATATAATTTCTGTACGTCTTCAGCGTTCTTTAGAGCATTTGCAGTAACGTTACCGTAAGGCAGACGTAAGTGCCGTTATGTACTGAAGCTTTGGAAACAAAACCAACGGTTAAAAAACATAAATATAAAAGTGAAAATAGCAATGCTAAGCCTTCTCCTGCGCCTTCGTTACTAAGCAACGGGATACACAGCTGCTGGCTTGATGACGCAAACGACTCGCTGTTCGGACCTAATTAAAATAACATGAACGCTGGCCAGCGGGGGCAGGGGGAGCAATCAAACTCCGGCTCGGACCAGGCAATCGAACCATTAGCTTGGTAAAGGGGCGTTCACCTACCTTCTGCATATAATGCTAAAATAATAAGCGTCTTAACATAAGCATATAAATACCACCCTTTAAAAAGATGTTAAATACCCAATGAGATTATATCAAATGTAATAAAACAACAAGGCATCAATAATTTTAAACCTGATAATAACTGATAAGTCATTAGAGGTCCATAGGAAGGGTGCAAAGAAACACCTGCCATACAAATATGAGATAAATAATGAGTGCTAATATTAATCAAGCTAATGATGCTAGACAGATCTAGGCTAGCACAGCTCCCTTAACACGAAGTCTCTGGCAGAGGATTGGGAAGCTCATTGGATGTGAAGAAATGAGGGACTGAGGGGACGGTTTAGGGTTTAGTGAAGAGAGATAGAGAGGGCGAGCAAGACAGAGTGGGGATGTGGTTAATTAGCAGTGACAGTTCCACAGTTGGTCCAACATTGGTTCAGACAGCTGCAGGCTGCTGCCAGCTACTACCAGTGCCACACGTTGCCACTCTCATTCTCTCTTCATTTCCATCTAGATAGATCTGTTCCTCCCATTCACTCACTCAGGTGTTTGTCTCTCTCTCTCTCTCTCTCTCTCTCTCTCTCTCTCTCTCTCGA